TTACTGGGTTTTTGGCTAAACGAACACGATTTGGTAACAATTGGTACCAACTTGTACAAATTTGTTGCATAGCGAACACACCTAATATTAGCAGTAACAGCTGATTTTAAAAACTGTCACTGCCACTGCCACTGCGCTATTGTATTTTGGCCTTAAAATTTGGCCCGAAAATTCGTAATTCGCTTAATTTTTTTTGGCCAATTATATCTCTTGCTGTGCGAAATTCGAATATACTGTTTTGTTATTATATTCTGATTAAAAATACCTACAAACCACGGACGGTAATGATTATGAGTAAAATAATTTAGGTCATTATTTAATCATTATTTTATTAATTTTTATTTTTTCGCTTAAAATTAATAATTATTATTGAGTTTTATATTTTCGCTCAACGAAAATAATTAGTTGATTTTTATTTTTTCGATCACAAATAATGATTATTTTATAATTTTTATTTTTTCGCTCAGAGATAATAATTATTATAGTTTCATTTGCCCACTTACGATTATCTATAAAATTTAAAAGGCCATACAGACGCCACCAGATGAAATTTTCGGCCTGAACATTTTGAGACTTATTCCTTTCATTAGGATGTCGCTACCTCTGAAAACGAAGCGTCGGAAATCGTGGTGGTAAACCATTTAAATTTTTTGAATAATCATTATTCTGCCCAAGAAAAATCTGTTGCGTAAAATATTGCAGCCGATTCTTATAGGACTTTTCCCGCAGAATCCAAATCTGACCGTAAAGATATTGCAATAGCTCTAGTTTTCGAGCAACCAAGATTTAAAGGTGGCGTAAAACGCGTTTTTGGACATTTTCGAGCCTCTGTAAAACAATAAATTGGTGCAATATATCTGTCTGAGTGGGCGGATATGGATATGAAAGCCTAAACACTGCCCCTTACTACCCAAAATCAAAAAAATTGTGGTCCGGACAATGAAAGCAATTGGAAACAGTTTTTTTATACGAGTACGCACAATTTTTTTTTAACTCTGGTTTTGCCTGTTTGTCATCACTTATTTTAAATGAGCCTGAGGCGCTGAAAATTTCTGAAGAAGTTCAAATTGAAGCTCAAACTTCATCTAAGAGAACATAACAGGCCAACAAAATTTAAAATATTACAGCCGATCCGTATAGGATTTGTCCCGTAGACACCGAGTCTGATCATAAAAATTTTTAATTGGCTATAGTTTTTGAACAATTTAGATTTAAAGGTGTCCTCCTCATCTTCATTTCCATTGCTAGAGTCAGTGTCCGTTCTGTATTTGGTGACTAATCTATGAAACCTCGAGTTGTACTTCAAAGATCTGTACAAAAATTTATACAGTGTGTGGATAAATGTTTAACCATCATTTTTTGATTTGAGTATTAAGGGCAGTGTTTAGGCTTTGATATCCTCCCACATAGACATATATATTGCATCAATTTATTGTTTTACAGATGCTCGCAAATGTCCAAAACGCGGTTTTCGGATTCTATGGGAAAAATCCTATAAGAATCGGCTGTAATATTTTAGTCGACATAACATTATTTAAATTTAATTGGCCTTTGTAATCATTATTTATGATCGAATAAATAAAAACGAGCAATAATAATTTCCATTGAGCGAAAAAATACAACTCAAATATTAATTATTATCTTTAATCTTTATTGGTTAAACTCGAAAAATAAAAATCATTGCAAATTACAATATTACAATATTATTACNAAATACAACTCAAATATTAATTATTATCTTTAATCTTTATTGGTTAAACTTGAAAAATAAAAATCATTGCAAATTACAATAGAACGTACGAACACAAATACGACCATTACAACTTGTTGATTTTTTTGGTTAAAATTTACAAATGATTATTTTCCGTTCCTGTTACAAACCTAGGAGAGTGCAGCGTGTTTGTGTAAATTATTCACCGTTTCGACACGACTTAGCCAATGTAAGTTTATCGAAGTGCAATTGTAAAATTGTTTGCGTGAAAAAATGAAGGAGGTAATGTAAGAAGAAAGCCATGTGTTTGAAGTGTGTTAATAAAAGGGAACACGACTAGATGACTAAGTACTACAGTTAATATGTGTATGATTGCATACAAGGTCGTTAAAGGGTTAAAAAAATGCATGTGAATGGGTTAGTTTACGATTTAGTCTACGATATTCTTAAGGTTTTGGTTCAAATAGTATGATTTTGAAGTCGTCTTTAATTTCGCACAGAACAGTGATTATTTGACCTATTGTGCAGTGGAATAAAAGTTGCGTGGCATTTATGTATGTTAACTTCATTTCTTAAATTAATATTTCCTCATCTCATCTCGTTTATGGGAACCAAAATGTGTCAAAACAACAAAATAAAAACTTGCGAATACAGGAACGGCCAAAACGAAAAAGTAAAAATTATGTCAAAACGCAAAAGTAAATGAAAATGGGAGCACAACTGTTACATTAACTACAATGGTATTGAGCTTGTACACTTGTATGTAGGTATTTATGTATATTAAAATTAAGACCAAACGTTTTACAACGGTGCTCAGAAGCTTACAGTTATACAATGTTCGAGCGATGGATTTTATAAAACTAGAAAAGTCTTCCGTTCTTTAACATGTTGGCCAGATTTTTCGACTGTTTCCAAATATACATTAAAAAAAAAATTCTACGTTATTAGTACTATTTATACTAAACTCTTTGTTTGAAGGAAAACTGTGTATATAACTTTATGACTTAAAACATTCCTTATAGGTCACACAGTTCCAAAAGTCCATGAATGTCTATATGTCTATCTAACTACTTATTATTTATTGTAAATGTTGTATACATATACATACATATAATAAAATAATTATATATAACTATACATTAAATTATTAAAACATCTTTTTTAGATATTACTCTTTTACTTTTTCAAAGACTCATTTATATCTTGGGTAGATTTTTTGTAAATATGTATAGATCATTATATTTAATTTTTGTTATTGGTTCTAAACACCAATTTTTTCGTGTAAGGCTGACGGCAGAATGCACACATCACGGTGAATATAAATATGTATCATGTACCATGTCAACTACTCGTTTACCGGAACAGAAATTATCGTGCACTCTGACGTTTTGTATAAAACCATATAAGAGGAATATATAAATATTACCGCGTCTCGCGGCAGTCCAAATGTTAATTTAATATATATTTGATTTCTCTTTATAATAAAAATATATTTGTGGTCATAAGCAATAGTCAGCCAAGTCGAAAAGCATACCTTCTATAAAACCTCAATTATATTTAAGTATAGAAGTCTTATATATATTAGGACAAATTGAATTCAGTATTAAGGATTGTTACTCGTAAAATCCTAATAAACTAATAAAATATTTGTTAACAATGTAGTTATTAGATACAATACCAAATAAGTGCTAATCGCAAAATGTAATACATATGTATGTATTCACATTAGACTGTCCCAAGAAACCCACAGTAGTTTTTTGTAACGAATATCCCCTCATTTATTGGTTTTGTCATAAAAACTATCCAAATAAAATTATATGCAATTCGTACCACAGCAATCCGTGCCAACTTGCAGTTAAAGTTATCATAATAAGCTTTGTGCAGTTCCCGTGTTTTGTTACCTTACTCATTTTACTTCTATATAAGGCGGTATTACTATACCCCCTACAGAATTAGGGCATAATATTTAGTAAACCTGCGTTTTTAGTTTTTTACCAGGTAGTCTGGATTTTTTCCTCGCCCTTCCTTTGTGCTATGTATAGAAGATAGTAATTTTAAATAGGTGGCAACCCTACTCAAAAAACTTAAAGCTTTTGTACATGCGAAGGCCATGCACTTTCATTTGGTATCATATTTTTTTATCCAACGAACGGTGAAGATCTTATAGTTTTTAAACAGGTGGTAACCCTACTCAGAAAAAAAAAACATTATTACACATCCAGAGGCTAGGTCTTTTCGTTTGACAGTGACGGTACAGAACTGATGCCTACGCTTATTATGATTGGATATTGTACTTTTATTAACAGATGGCAACCCTATTCAAAACAAAAAGATTAGATCTTTTCTAAAGGCCAATCCCTTTCATTTGACACCTCATCTTTTGTAATCCAACGAACGGTGCGGATCTTATAGATTTTAGACAGGTGGCAACCCTATTAAAGTTCTAAGTAAAAAAAGATCCCTCTCCTATCGATACAGAGTATATTAGAGAAAATGTCGTCAAAATCCGTTCAGTAGTTTTCGAGATTACCGCGAACAAAGAATTGCGACTTTCCTTTATACTATGTATAGATTTCAAAAAGTTTACACAAAACATGGATATATGGGTATCAAATAAAAAATAAAAAAATCAAACCAAGATTAATTATAACCTTTGTTTTTAATTATCCTTTTGGAACATGCCAAAAATGTCATTTAAAAATATTATCCTTCAAGATTTTTAATTTCGATCGTAGTTTAATTTAAATTCTATTAATATATAAAGGATACAAATTGCAAAGGATATTAAGGTATAATTAATTTTTTCGATGTACTTGGGAGAAATCCTGCCGTCCTATTAAAAATTTAAAGATGCAGATTTACCAGAAATGCGCCAAAATGTGGAAAGCATATCGAATTTTTCGCATTTCGTCCATGATTAATTCAAGTTATTAACTAAAACTTCAACTAAAAGTCGGCACAGGTTATTCTTTCCCTACGGCCATAAAACTTCATATATAGGCTATTTAGGCTAAAAAGCACAAATATAGAGGTTATGCTTGTCAAAATTTGGGACAGTCTAATGTGCATACATATATGTACGCATTAAAAAAAATATGTGTGTTTATGAGAAAAAATGATTTATTTTTTTTTTATTTAGATATGCAGAGTTCTAAAAATGGTTGAATATTCGCTTATCTTTACTTTAGCTCTTTTAGGAAAAATATATTAGGAAAATCATTTTACTAAGTAACATTAAGTTGGATAAACAACTAACCAACTTTGACTTAAGCCGTAATGGTTTTTAATATAATAATCACTTTTTGTAAAAGTACGTTGGAAATATGCAGTCTTACTAGGAGAATAACGGGTAAAAAGGCTCAATTCTGTCTTAAATCGGCTTATGCGACTCTTAATTTTGACCACAGATACATATATTTGAATTCGCTTGATGTGTTCTAACTCTAAACCTATAAAAAGCCTATAAATTTGTTTGCTATCGTTCTTAAAATGTCCAATGCTAGCTTAGACCAGCGGCAGCGCTAACATGCTTTTATCATATCTAACTCATAGGCACGAAATTTTACGACATCCGATTTCATGTAGGCAAAGATGCCTAATGACACATAGAACTTTGTGCAAATATGTATGTATGTACCTAAATGCATTTTTTTAATTTTTAGCTGCCTAGCGATTCAAAACTCACCTCAACCTACATATATAGGTATATCGGTTATCATTGGTAGCAAAAAGTTAATTTAAGAGCATAGCTGCTAATTCTATTATTTACCTTCTTTCTTCATAAAAATATATTTATCGCAAACGAATCGCCGTATTTAATGAATCACTGTCTGTCAAAGATCAGTTTTGTGAACAAATAAAGGCACACTAACACTGCCGTCTGTCTAATCTGCAAGGTAATTCACAAAGTATTCCCATAGGACAAGAGGTTTAATTCGTAACTGATTTCAATAATACAGCACTCTTTTGGACAACATCAGTTATTCATCAGCACCTCTCTCGTATACAATACTTTACGCGGCCTTGTGAAAAACCTAAAATGCATAAACCTTACGCAACTATCAAATGAAGCACTCAATGCTTGGACAGGTTCAGCGGCACATCTGTAAAAAAAGGAAACAAATAATGAATTTAATTACAAATTACTGAAAGTTTATTTTTTTATTTTTTTTTTTATTTATTTATTAAAGCTTATACAATGTTATTAACATATGTACAACCTAATCATGCAGCGCTAGCATCAGAGGCTATCAGCTAGTTTATTTTTAAATAATATGTTTATGCTTATGTATGTATATCTGTGGAAATTTTACATAACATAAGGTTTGTTCGTCGAAAATCCAGCAAGAATTATCCAACACTCAAAATATCAGAGTAAGAAAAAATTCTCTCAAATTCTCTCTCATGTTGAGAAACTTGCAAATTTCTGCACGAACGCAAATTTGCAGGAATTTGCAAGTTTCGCTGCCAGCTGGCGTCCACGGTTGCATTTCAAACATAAAAATTTTTTATCGAATTTTTAAAATTCTTTCGGATGGCCAAAAACAGGATATACATGTATATTTCTTGTTGTTCTGACTTTCTTTAACATACATTTCAATTTCTTCATCGTACTAGCTGTCGGGTTTCTTAAATCGACTCTGGTTGCAATTGCATTCCGATTGCGAATACCATTTTTTTCAGCCGAATTAAGTTCAAATCATTGGAATTAACTAAATTAATTATATCAACAATTATTTACTTCCTTTTTTCATAAAAAAATCGCTCGTGTTTATAAATTTTTAAATTTAACGAACTAATTTATTCAAATTATTGTAGACAAAAATGCAACCATGCGCCACAACCACATGTTTTTCGTGTTTGCAAATTCTTGCTGGCAAAATTTTTTCCAGCAAGAATTTGCAACTTCTCTCCAAGAGAACTGTCACTTTGCTCTCACAATTTTTGAGTGTTGGATAATTTTTTGGTCTGCACGAACGCGATTTGGGCAAAAATCGTGATAATTCGTACAAATTCGTACAAATTTTTTGCTCGACGAACAAACCTAATTTAACCGCCCAATTCTGTATTTTCTTGATAAATTATATGTTAAGAAATTTTATCAAGATTCGTATCTGGTATAATAATGGAACGCTTCATTAACACACACAAACAGATATTTGAATCCCACTCGGAAAATAGGTAAGTACCTTACGAGGTAATCCATGTTTTCTTTCAGTTTTTAGTACCAAAATTGTCATTATGACCAATGTAATCTACTAGTAAGGCACAAAATGAATACCACCGACGACGAATTTCGTTGTCAGTTGGAAAATAACGTGCCACCGAAGATATTTCCATGCGCCGAACTAATCCGAGCGACTGCCCTACATTCTACGTAACTTACTTTGTAAAGCGGCTATTTCTGATACCAAATGCACATACATTCTAAATTCCTACTTGCTTTGTTAAAGTAAGGGATATTCAGTCAGTCAGTGAAGTGGTAAGGACCGCTGGTAAGGTATTGATGACAATTTTAGTACTAAAAGCTAAAAGAAAGCATGGATTACCTCGAAAGGTGCTTACCTATTTTTGCAGCGGACATATTCGAATATACCGTTTAACCAGATATTCAAAACATCCGGAAAGAACTCCGTATGATAAAAACATTGCAAGGTAAAACCATTGAGAGGCAGTCTGACGTTTTCTAGCTATATAATTTTAAAATTCAAAACACAAACTCCCGCACACCATGGTGGAATAATAACAAGGTGTTGTCAGTTACTTAACCTCACTTTTTCGGCAGGTCTATTCCGGTCATTTTAAAGTAGTAGAAAAGGTATTAATTATTTACTACTTTTAATCCGTTGGTGCATACTATTTCAAATTAAATGTAGAAAAATGTTTAATTACAGGCTTATAAGCCAGGGCATGAATCAGGTATGACGACAATCATCTGAACGATATCGTGTCGAAATTGTCTTGCTTCATGAAAACCAAATATTGCACAAATGCATAAATCAGTGTTTTGACGACGTAATTCTGTTAGTATCGTTTGAGCGACTATCATTTCAAAGTTACGTTACGGCAGCTCCATACAGCTTGGACATATATTGTAACTTTAAAAAAGTAAGGCGGTAAAATAAGGCAATTTCCTATAAGACTGTAAATGATTTTTTAAATAGACTAAAAAACATAAATATCGATAATATAAGCGGACTCCTATTTAGTCCAATTGGCTCAATATTATGACAATGCAGCAAAAGTTATTTAATATAAAAAATCGCCTTTCTATACGATTTTTGCGTACGTTTTTTCCATTGATACCCACGATATCTTTTATTTTTTTTACATTTTGAGGACAAAAATTATACAAATCCATCAATGTTTTTGTTATTTTATGGCCTTATAACAATTATATTCAACAATTTTTATTGAGCTCGAGGCCGTTTTTAATGAAAAACTTATTGTGGAAAAGCAACAATAATTTGAAAAAAGTTAAACACTATAAAAATAGAATTATTAACGAAAACCAACAACCACATGATCAATTGTAAATCGTAGCGGAATAGCTGCCCTTGAATGTGTTGGCTTAGCAAAAATGAAAAAGTGGGAAAAAAGCAACGATAATTTGCAGTGCCTAGGCAACTGGCTGAGTCAGTGGAATCGTCGGTTCGAATCCTAATGAAAGAAGTCTGATGAGGAAATTTGGTGATTTCCGAAATAGCTATCACCTATCACTTCTACCATTTTTTCAAATTATTGTTGCTTCTCCACAATAAGTTTTTCATTAAAAACGGCCTCGAGCTCAATAAAAATTGTTTAATACAAATCCATCAATTTCAAATATTAATATCGTTCTGAAAACACCAAGTTCTTTAAAAATCGGGATAAAACGAATTACTAAAATTGAACATTTTAGATACTATTTCCCAACGAATAGTAGTATAAAAATTAAGATCGGCAGCACTGAAACACCTTGTTATTATTCCACCATGCCCGCACACATTCTCATTTTGAAACAACAACAATTGTGAACAATCCCAGCCAGCAAAGAAACGTAAATTATTGCCGACAGTACAGTTTAGTTCAATTTTCCGTATCCGAAAATGCATACAAAAAACTCCTACGGTTATCATCGATTATCACGTTCGAAAAAGATGATGTCATTTGAAAGCAATAATTGTATTTTATTTGCTCAAGCTAAACATTTGAAAGCAATAATTGTATTTTATTTGCTCAAGCTAAACATTTGAAAGCATGCATCAGACAAATTTCGGAAAAAACCAGCCGAAATCGTATCCGTTTCACATACTGTTGTCTCTGAAAATTACTAACAATTTTTACTAATTTACTTCGTTTTTAAAAAAGCTGGTCGCGCGAATAGCAAACCGGCATTTAAATATCTGCATACATACATATAAATACATACATACCTAACCAATTATGCATGTACGCTGAATTCGCCGACAAGCTTTTTTAAAAACGAAGTAAATTAGTACAAATTGTTAGTAATTTTCATTAGAGTTTGAATAACTCCTTTCACTAAATGGCTTTTAGTAACTTTAACGAGACCTTAACTTATTTTATTTTTTTTTTCATTTTAGTGCAGTTTGACAAAACTTTCTTGCTAAAAAATCGTTTGTTACACTACTTCATGTTATTCCTTTGATTGTACAGGTTAAATAAAAGCTTGTTTTTAAAAAATCTTTTTTTAAATTATTTTATTTTATAATTTTTAGTCCATTTATAAAAGCGTTGTATATTAAAAAGTGTTATTTTATTTTATTTAAAAAATTTTGCGATTGATATTAAAATAATTCAACTTGCAATGAAAGAGAACAGAAGACTTGGCAAGCAAAATGTTGTTTGCTTACGTTTTGTATAAACATACATATGTACATATAACAGCAGTTAATTTTATTTAACGAAATGGCGTGTCGTCCATTTCCGCTGTAGCATGGCATATATTTAGGCGCAATATTTAACTGCTTCTGGCGGGGCGACATCTGGAGTCTTCTAATTCCTAGAACGAGGTTCATATCAAGACTAGGTTGATATTTAGGATTTGCCACAAATAGCTTTGCTACACTATCGCCGGCAGGTTTAACCATTTTATAGTGGTTTTACGTTCTTTGGCAAATTACGCTCTGTTAGCCATAAATCTTACTATTTTTTGACCGCCTTTGAATCAAGACCCCTGGACCATATGGGGAATTAATTTATACATTAAATGGCATTGTCATCGTGATTGGAACTATGCTGAAAATTTCAAGTCTCTAACTTGTCGGGCAGTCAGTTTAAAATCGATTGGAAATTTCCGCGATTTGCGCGGGATGACCAAGTTAAATAAAAGCTTATAAAAACACTCGTCATGTGCTTGTTTATTGTAAAATTGGTTAATTTTACATATTTCGAGGAAAATTATGGATTCTGATGTATTTGCAATTATAGCAGCAGAGTAAGCGGGCGCTATGGTAATGGATTCACAAAGGTATGCGGAGCTGTCGGGCATAGTCACCATGGCGCATCTATGTCAGCTTCTGGTTGAATTGTTGAACCAAAATCCAGAACTCCTCCTATGCCTGAAGCTCTGTTTCTCAATCCAGTTAATGCAATAACAGCTTCTTCCAAGCCATTGAAAACACGCACTTTGTTAGGTCTCCCACCTCTTGCGCTTGATTCTGCCTCCGGCCGTGCTTAGGAATTATAACCCTTACTAAGTAGAATTCTCCTCTCTGTGTTGCGGGGAAGAGGGGCTTCCGCATGTCAAAGGTATACAACATTTCTTGTGCATATCACTCCGGCTACGCCGTCCATAGTATTTTTGCGCAGAACCCACATCGAAATTTGCAAAAAAGTGCATATTGCAAACCGAGTTGATTAATAAGCTAGTGGTAGGAAATTTGAAACATTTATCTTAAATAAAATGTGAATCCTTTGATTACACCTGTATGTTAGAGTTTTTGGATTCGGGTTATGCGTTTGGACACAACAACCGAAAATCGTTGTACAAATAACTAAACCGGACCCAAGTTTCTCGATAAGGGGCAACAAAGATTTCGTTTTGCTCGTTTATATAAATCAGTGGATAAAAATATATGTATATGCGAAAGGCTAATTT